TAAAATTGCTGTTTGTTTTCAAATAAACCCACCAGAAGAAGTCAGGAGAAGACAATTGGAAGATCTAAGGAGCCGATCAATGTACTTTTTTTAACTCTAGACGTGTTCGGAATTTTTTCACTAGAAACTGAATAGTTTGGTTCACAGTGCAACACGACGGACCTAGTCAAGGATATTTCATAGATCTTATTTGAATTGCGTGTTTCCCAAATATTTTAATTTTTATTATTAACGGCGCTTAGTGCGAAATGGATCTTGCCTATATACGTACCCGGCTTTCGAATTTAAGAAGACATTGCCTCTAGCTTTTGAATTGAAAAAGGTAGTAGTAAGGCTTTTTTTTTGTTTTTAAGTATATGCCCTCTCAGACTCTGTAGTGACTGGTGCTACCATCGGTATTTTCCAGCTTAATTTCTTAACTAACATTAATTTATCAAAAAGCGGCAAAAAATGCCGCCAAACAACAGTCTCGAACGAGAGAACGAGGGTAAGACAAAATCTCCTGCCGTCGCAGTCGCGTCTAGACTGTTGACTGTAATAACTTCGAAGTAGTAGATAATTTCGTCCCACTTGAAGCCAGTGTTAACAGCAATAATGTCAGCCTCGAAATCCAATGCAAAATAACTCTTGCCAACAGGTGCTACTTCGGAAATAACTAGTAGGCGATTGAGAGTAAAGTCCTCTCTCGACGAACAAAGAGCAAACTCTAAAAGACATTCATTATACTCGTCCTGCTATATGGCTTGGTGGTACTTTTACTTCTCTTATGCTCACATGATCTTTCTCACTGTTCTTTCCGATATATCAACGGTGGCAGTAAAATCTCTGACGATTCTCATGCACCAATTCCTTTATTTTATTGATGTGATAATAATCAGTTGATCTTGGTAGCATGGTCTCATGGCTAGGCTTCTCTAACAGAAAGATCAGCTATTTAAAAACAATACGCAAACTCTGAAAAATTAGATCAAAATAAGATTTGATCACTATACTGTATGTGTTAGATTCTTCCCATTCAAACCAACAAAACTTTTCATGAAATTTTTTCTTACACACAAAGCGTTAAAGCATTATCACTGCATAGTATAGATTACTGCTCATTTCCCAGGTCCTGTATTTATTTCGTTTCGATTACCACTGTCGCCAGCATTTCATCGTTTTTCATTTCATTTGTTAGCTTTCGATTTATCATTTCACCAACAAGAAAATCATTTGAAAACTACCATAAATAATATAAAATGTATAAGGTCACTGAAAAGTGTTAGTGTAGTTATGTGGACAAACTGTCAACTGCAGCTTGTAAGCCAAGTAAAGGCATTTACCGTTGGCAACTTTAAGTAACTGTAAAAATTCCACACTCATGTGTGCATATACATAATAACACCACTCAACAAATGTGAAAGAAATAGTGCCGTCGCTGATTCGCTGGCTTCCGTTCTGGAAATTCGATGTGAAAGATGCACCTCGCTCTGGTCGACTTATCGATGAAAAAGTCGATGAAATTATGGAAAATATTGACCAGGACCGTCAAATAATCAGCCATGACATCGCTATGAAATTTAACATTCATCATCAAACGGTTTTGAGCCATTTAAAAAAGGCTGGCTACAAAAAGAAGCACGATGTTTGGGATACACACTGATGGAATAATGCCGCTATCGTAAAAATGTTAAAACCTATTCGAACAAAATAGTACCTAATTGGTTCATTAAAGTCCGTTATAAATAAAAAAAAAAAAAAAAAAAAAAAAAAAGAAAAATATATAAAGAAAAAAAAAAAAAAAAAAAAAAAAAAAAAAAAAAATAAGTCGAACATTGATTAGAAATACAAAAATGCTTTTTCGACTACCCTATAAATATGGATCAGATAATATTTCCGAATGCAAAAAATGCCTTTAATATGCAGAGAGAACACTCGCAATTTTTAGCCAATCTTTTTGAGCAATGTTGCATTTACAAAAGGAAATCTCTCATTGTTTTGAACTTTTGGGACTGAATAATCTTGCTATTAAATTTAATAAATGGTTTGTATTTAATTTCATTTTTTCCTTCCGTTTTATTTTTTCATAATTTGTATAATCATTTCACTTCGTTTCTCTCTGGCCTGAACTTTATTTAATGACAGCATTGCATTCAAGTTTATGTGGCTGCAATTGCATTAGAGTGGATCGCAAAGAAAATATTGCAAAGAACTGCTTTTCCTATGCTAACCTCAGAGGGTGAGTCATAATTCAATTCTAAGTAACAATAGAAGAATATTAATGTACAACAGTGAGCCATATTGGTCACTTCAACACAAAAACATAATATTTTGAACACTTTCATACAATTCTGTCTTAATTTCGTCATTATTGCAGCCTACTTTCGACCGCTTTTAAAATAGTTGAAAAACATTGTAATATAAATTTCATTTGCAAAGATTGTAGTATTGTATAGTAGGGCAGTGCAAAATTATCTGTGCCAAATTTCGTGAAGATATCTTGTAATAAACACGTTTTCTCTACAAGTAGCTGATTTTGATCTGTCGGCTTGTATGCCAGCTATATGCTATAGTAATCCGATATCGGAGATTATGACAAAAGAGCAGCTTTCTGGGAAGAAAAAGTTTTGTCTAAAATTTCTAAAGGATATCTCAAAAAGAGAATGACTAGTTCGCGAATATATAAATCATAAGCAAACAAGAAACCGCTCCACTCTAATACACATTTTTATATATTTGTGTTTGCTGCTTTTAATAAGTGCACTTGCGGTTAACTGCACGTGGGTTGTATTTTTTTTTTTTTTTTATAATTTGCCACAAGCACTTTCAATAACAAACTGACAAATAGCCAATCAGCCACACAAGAGAGCAACGAAGTCTTGAGGGCTTACTGGCCGACGACGACAGCAAATCACACTTACGAGGATATAACTTTTTTATTAGTGTATGTACACATGTGCTTTCCGAATGCTACAAAAATATACTTTAAAAAAGCTATTCGAAGAGGAGAAACATGCACTTTAAGTATGTGTAATAGAAATTTGTAATTATGTTTTAGTATGTTCGGCCCTTGTAAGTTTTTGGTAGCTAATTATTGCACCTGGGTATGATTTGCTTTCTTCTAAAGGCAATTCAATCGTGGTAAGAACAAAAATCTAAGAACAAAAGAAGTATTAATAACCAATGTGTGCAAGAGATTTGTATATGAAATAATTTGGGAATATATATGTGTGCATATATATTTGCATAAGAACTCATTCATATGTTAAGAAAACATTATAGAAATTTCACTTGCAATCGTATGAGAAAAGATTACGTATCCGCCGTGGCGCCTGAACCCAGTTAACTAATTTATAGCTAAGATAGGATTAAATTTCGTTTGCTTACTTTGCATTTATTAGTAAACTAATTTTGTATTTATTAATTAATTTTTATAAATAATTTTGATATATCAGTTATTGAAGAACGCGATCAAATATTTTTTTAAATTAAATTAAATTCAACAATTTTTTTTCATATGAAAAATTAAATATTTTATTAGAATTTTTTATTGTTTCAAACATATTCTACAATTAACAAAGAAATTCTGAAATTTTTGGGAAAAATATTTTAAACTTGGCCATTGCGACGCCATTTCCGGTGGGCCCTCGGAAAAAAGATGCGCCCGCACTGGCAAGATAACTGCTTACAAAATCATCTAAAGTGAAAAGAAATGCGTTTTAATTAAAACTTTAATTTACTATTTGGACAAAGGAAAAACCACTGAAAATTGGATTTTCGGCAGACATTTTTTTGCAAAAAAATTAAAATTTTAATGAAAATTTTTTTTTCGAAATATTTAGAATACAAAAAAATATTTGTCCAAGTTTTTAAGAATTGTATCTCAAAGACCTGTGTAAAATTTCATGAAGATTAGTTGAGTAGTTCTCAAGAAATCTTGCCAACCGTCTTCAAAAACACAGTTTCGAGAAAACTGCGTTTAAAAACGGCACACGTAGCCCCAGCTAATCTCGAGCGCACAAGTTCTCGAGAGTGTACCTTCGAAAACATTACTCGGATCCACTTGAAAATTTAGGACAATATTCTAGAATTAGCTTGGAATTTAATAAGACAATAAAATAATTCGATTTCATTAAAACCAATAAATCCACGTAATCTTTTAAGAACTGATATTAGCAGCTAAATAGATACGAATTACTCAAGTTTCAAACGTTTAATCGAGCAGCTTGCACAGACTTATCTTATTCGCTTGCTTACAAATCCTTTTAAGTAAAATTATTCCAATATTATACATATAATTATGCATAATATGGGATCTCTAGAAATGCTTTACTTCGAACATTCCGATACGCAAAAATTTAATAAGCTAAATAGCGTCAGAAAATATATTTATACGTACATTACCTTCCGTAAGAACTAATCTATTTAAATATATATGTACAAGCGAGTGTATGTATATATATATATAACTTAACTCATATATATATATATATATATATATATATATATGTAAAACAAGCAATAAATTATTATGAAAACTTAATAAGAATCGTTGGGATAAATGATTTAGCTGGAATTAACACTTTTTATTGTTAGCGAACGAGTAATAACTAAAAGAGGTTGCTTATACGCACTGTTGCCTTATAGTAGGAGAACAAATAATTAATATGAAGAACAAAAGGTACTTATTAACATTTTATAAACTCTTTTTGATTTATTTCTTTTCATTTTGCTTTGAACCTTAATTTTTCCGCTATAAGATTATAATGTAAACTGAAAAGCTCTTGCGATTTCTTACTCGAATAAATAATGCATATAAGCAACTCAGCATTAAATAATAAATTTCCGAAGAATTTTACACCTTCATGACAGCTACTAGAGTACTGAGTGCGCTAGCACTACTCCCAATCTATATTATAGTATTCGAACGAACTCTTTTACAATTACATACCTTCATCCTAGCTTCTTCCAGTCAAATATCTACATTTCTGTAATTTGTTATTTTTCCGTTTGACTTATAGGCAGCTGAATCAGGAAATTTGGATGAGTTTAAGCGGCTTTATCAGTCGGATAATGCACGTTTGTCGATAAGGGATAGCAAGGGGCGCACAGCAGCACACCAGGCAGCGGCACGAAATCGTGTGAATATTTTGCGTTACATAAATGATCAGCGTGCAGGTAGGTTGATTATTCATATGTATGTAAAAATACATAAATGTACACATACATATATTAAAGTGTTAATGGCATCTTCTATATTTTCTGATTGAATGTTTATTATATTAACTGCCGTGTTTTCGCATTTCCAGATCTCAACGCTAAAGACAATGCGGGCAACACGCCGCTGCATGTGGCAGTTGAGAATAATTCGTTCGATGCACTTAGTTATCTACTGTCTATGTAAGTAGATATACTATATATGTAAATTGACTCGCACAACATATTAGAAGTAAGTTGTTCACCGCTCATCGACGAGCATACAAAACTCCTTAATTTCTACTGAAAAGTAAAATCGATAGACCCAAATTTTTTTTTTGAGTAAAACACATCCAAAATTTAAATCTTCACAAAAGTTCCAATAAAATATAGAATATTTTGGATAAAAGGAAAATCGTTAATTGGATTTCAGCTGCGTCTGTTTCTTAGGTTCCTACTTTCAGAGTTACTTTTTTATTGAAAATTTAAAAAAAAAAATTACGATTATTATTTAGGGAACATAAAAATGGAAAAATAAGAAAATACCCTAACAGTATTTTGTAAAAAAAATGGAGGTATTTAATGTCTCAAACTATGTTCCACTAACACGCTTCACATTAGGATTCCATTGACTTTTCAAAGCACTGAGGTTAGGTTAGGTAATTTCAGGTATTAAGGTTGATCTTTGAGGCGGAGTTTGAATTTAACCAGCATTCTGGAATTTCAAAAGCTCTTAAATATTGAACTTAGCTATCGATCTGACGTTCATCGACAAAACGCCTTAAACCCATCAGAAATATGCCCAAACGATTGATTTTAATTCCCACCAGTTTTCCTGGATAACCAAGGGCCTGTGATTCAAAGAATTTTAACCTCGTCAACAACGAAATGTCGAAAGTTTTAGCGTCACTGCAAAGCTATTCAATTAATTGTGGTTCAACTATAATGAGATGAGCATACAAACCTTAATACGTAGGGTGTCGATCGGAAGTAACCGATCGATTAATTACAGATCAGTATCGAAGTAAATACTTAAATATTTTTAAAATATGCTTAAATGGACATAAATTTGGACTCTACTTGAAGAGTAAATGAGATAGTAGAACATTGTACTTGAAGAAAAGACAATATTATAGATTAAACTTTTTGATTCGGAAAATATCAAAATTAATATTTACATATATGATAGTTATTAAAAGCTGCTTAACTAAAAAGGGCTGCTGTCAGCGACCATTAAAGATATCTAAATGGTCAACATGTCGAACAGAGTCGATTTTGACGTGCTCGTTGTCTTCCTGGAAATAGGCGAACTAGTCTCTCAGTTTATGAGATGCCGTTCTGAAATTTTACGCATGTTATTTTCTCGTCAAAAAGCTTCTCATTTGTCAAAATTGCCGATATCGGATAAGTATAGCATATAGCTACCATACAAACTGACCGGTCGGAATCAAGTTTTGTATGAAAATTTTTTTTGTTTCACGAGATATCTTCACGAAATTTGGCACGAATTATTAACAAATCTAACGGTATTATCTCCGATGAAATTGTTAAGAACATAACACTATAGCACATAGCTGTCATACAAACTCATTGATCAAAATCCAGTTCTTATATGAAAAACTTTTTATTTGACAAACTATGCCCACAAAATTTGCGTGTATTACTTTCAAAGTGAACTGTACAATCTCTGAACAAATTTTAGATCGGAACATTATAACATAAAGATTCAATACAAACTGATCGATCATAATCAATAGGCGTATCAAAAAATTGAAAGAAAAAAATATATTATTTGAAGTAACAATAACCAACACTTGTCTGAACAACTTTTAATAATTAATTTTCATCCTGCTCACACTCACCACAGACCCGTCGATACCGGCCTACTCAACGAGAAGAAACAGGCGCCAATTCATCTAGCAACTGAATTGAATAATGTGCAGGCACTACGAGTTATGGGCAGATACCGCAAGGAAATCGATATAAAGCAAGGCGGCGAACATGGGCGTACAGCTTTGCACTTGGCCGCCATTTATGATCACGAGGAGTGCGCTAGAATACTGGTGAGTAAGCAACTAAAGGTGGATGTATGTGTGAAGTGAAAATGAAAAAGGATATTCAAGAAAAGTGTTGTGTCTGTATGTGTGTATGAAAGTGTGTTGATTGTAAATTAAGGCTATGTGGACACGATTATATACATATAGGCAAGATCAAACCGTACTTTTGTATATAAAACCGATTCTATATCACCTTACATACATTTCCTACATATTTTCCTTATATGGTATATCACTAACACATTTATATTTGTGTTTGTAAGCTCTCATCATTTTTTTTTTTTTTTTTTTTTTGTTTTTAAATCATTCATAATTATTATTTCTGTTACCACAATTTCCCCATCATTATAGTTATTGTTATTGTTGTGGTTATTATTGTTTTCTTTTTTGTTATTGTTGTGTAGCGTCATTTGAACACCATTTAATACGTGTTGCATATGTCTGTCGTATCTTCCAGATAACCGAATTCGAAGCATGTCCCCGCACACCTTGCAACAACGGTTATTATCCCATACACGAAGCGGCTAAGAATGCCAGCTCCAGAACGATGGAGGTCTTCTTGCAGGCAAGTAAACGCATATATGTACATACATACATACAAAAATGTGTATGTTTGTGTGTGTATATGAAAATGTTGAACGAACACATGCACATCCATAGTTCCCTCTTCAAGTTTTGTTTGTATGTATTAGTAGTTGGTGGACTCATGCCTTAAATTTATATGTACCCACTTTATATTCACAGTTATTTTTTACATAATTATTTGTAGCTTTTGATTTGACATTTGCAATGTTTATATATGTATATGTATATAATTGTACGATACGCCTACGCTGATATGCCTTCGTAGACGTTCCCACATAAATATTTCCTCAAAGTTTGGTTTTTTTTTGTACTGTTAACCTTTGCTTACTTGTGAATATCTACACAAACACTAGTTTAGAAACCATTTATTTACATATTTCCTGTCCTTTATACATATATATATATATTAATATGTAAGTATGTATGTGTGCATACAACATGACTGTTTCTATTTGCTTCTTTTATTGTGTTATTTCGCAAATATTTGTCCGAGCCACATGTCATTCCGCAAATGGTCTCTTGCGGTTATACAAAGTAAAGGATAAATTGTGGGAAGTATTTCTCAAATTTCTCTCAAATATTTTTTTTTCTCAAAATAAGTTATTTTCCATATTATATTATATATTTCAACCTTTAAAGAAGCACTTCAATTATATAAAGACAATATATTTGAAGAGTTAAAAAAAATCTGTTGCATACAGGTACTGTATATTAATATATGCACTTACCTATGCAAACACCAGTGGTGACAACGAAAGTAAGAATGTACAATAAAATCACAAAAAAAAAAAAAAAACACTAAAATACCGTTAAAAGTCGTTTAGACAAATTATTTAGCTGGAAATACTACTTTTTTATCGCTAAAGGGAAAGAAAAAGGTTGCGTATACGCACGGGAGACCTATACAATGAAAGCAAATGATTAACAATAAGAACAATTTGCATTGTATTTCGTGGAAAATATTTAATATTACTAAAAATCGTTTACTTCTTCTCTGCCAATAATACCCTACACAAATTAAACATTTTTTTTTAACAAGAGCTTGATCTTGTTCGACCAATTTGTATGACAGCTATATGTTAAAGTGGCCCGATCTTAACTATTAGTTCGAAGATTATACAGTTCACTTTGAAAGTATTTCATGCAAATTTTCGTGAAGACATCTTATCCACAAAAAAAAAATTCCTACAAGAACTTGATTTTGATTGCTCAGTTTGTATGACAGCTATATGCTATAGTGGTCCGATGTGAACAATTTCTTCAGAGATGGTACCCTTGCATTTGGTAATAATTCGCGCCAATTTTCGTGAAGATAACTTATCAAAGAAAAAAGTTTTCCCTATAATAACTTGAGTTTGAACGATCAGTTTGTATGACAGCTATATGTATAGTGGTATTGGCGATTCAGACATATGAGCAGCTCTTTTGAAAAAAAAGAAGGAATGCAAAATTGCAGATCGATATCTCAAAAACTGAGGGACTGATTCACGTGCATAACATTGACAGAGATCTCAAAGAAACAAAACGAGTGTTAGGATCATATAAAGATACAATTCAATGTATGCGTCTAAAGCACAGCGTCAGTTTTACTCTCACTTTCTCTCTTTTAATCAAATGCCTTAAGAGCTTCTTTCCAAACCAGGCCACTTTGAAAGCAGATATGAAATATTAGCGTATGCTTTGGATTCATTTGACAATATCTGTACCCCAACCTCTGCTATAAGTATATAAAGTATTTTTAATTTTGCTTTATTAAACGTGGTTTAAAACAGAGCTTGTACTTAAAATCCTATATATAATATATCTTACCAAATGAGCTGAAAATGTTTTGGCATAAAAAAGAGGTCGCCTCAAATAAAAATTATCAATTCTTATCTTAGAATAAAAACAGTAAGAAAAAAAATTATTGTTAAGAAATCCCTTACAGATTAATTAAATTTTTCGTTTTGTATGTATATTTAATCATGGCAAAAGCCCAATCACTACAGAATCGTGAAGAGTTTTCTATGTATAAAAAAATATAAAAAATATWTATAAACAAATTTGAAAAAAAAAATATATAAAAAAATTTGAAAAAAATAAAAGTAAAAACAAAATTGAAATAAAACATTATTTTCATATTAGTTGTTTCCCGTAACCACAATACTGTCAAAATATCGTGACATTGCCAAAAGTAAATATCCGAAGCATATTAAAAGAACACCGAGGTCATATGGTTGGAATCGCATTCGATATGGTTGTAACATCGATCCAAAAACCAAACGTTCAAAGTTTAATATGCCATTGAGCAAAAGCAATAAGACCGAGTTTGCGATTTGTGGCAAAACATGAAACGATCGAAGTAGTCAAGATTTGACTTAGGCCAAAATTGTGCAACAAGGAGTTTTTGGGAAATCTAGTATGCTCCAATATTATATTATCAATAGCAATCGAAAGTTTTAATTCTAATCCTAAGTGCCATCAAATCAAATCTTACGGGCGTAACTTCTTCGTACTCCATCATTCTTTGCTTTAGACCAGTTGTGTGTTCGATTCTCTTTCTATTTTTCATATTGTTTAAGGCGACTTAACCCTGCACTTGCTTTGTTAGTCCACTCGAATTACAATCATCGTGTTTTGCAAACAGCAACAAGAGGTCGGCTGTGTAGAAGACACTCTCACCACTATTCCCCAGCCCATTAAATAAATTTTGTGCACATTTTTTACACAAGTAAAAAGTTAAATTAAAGTTAAATTAATGTTAAAAATGTATTATGTTTCCATATAAGTAAGAAAATAGTGATTTAATGGCGATATGCCATAAAAGGCTATTCCAACAAAGTTTACCAACACACACACTCATACGCGCAGACTTTCATTGTTCATCTTATTTAGCACTTTTTTGGTACCCTGCAGAAGCACTTCTTACCGCTGTGTATGTGTGTGGTTAAGACCATATATACAATTACTAACTAAGCTTTCTTGCTGATAAAAACACACACCTATGAACGCATCCTGGCATATATTCATACATACATACATACGTGCACAGATTTCTTGTCTCGTTAATGTAACCACCATGTGGCCTGCAAATGTGTGTCTGTAACTTTTCATTTGAATTTCTGCACTTTGATCTTTTCATCTTTCTTTGTATATGTGCGAATATACTTTTGTAGATTTGTACGCTGTGTTAACCATCCAGGCATTGTTTTTTTTTCGCATTCTTCACGTGCGCCTTGGTCCAAATGCACTGAATGTGTGTATGTATACTAGATACATATGTATACTAGAGCGGGTCGATTTACAGGAAGCCAAGAAAACGGTAAGGTTCTGCAGATCATTTTGAACAACTAAAAGCCGGTTACAAGCCAACGATTTTTAGGTAACCTTTTTTTTAGGGCGAGGATTTTCAGCGATTATAATAATTACTTCGTCAATTTTTGAGATGACCGAATGAAATTTCATACGTACATAGCTGCATTTTGATATTCTATCAAACATTTGTTGGAATTGGTCACAAATCTTCCACACAACCGATTATTCAGATTTTGTAAAGTCCGCCTTAAAAATCGCTTGAAACCCGTTTCAGATATATATAGTCTCTTTGGCAAAGTAGTTCAAAATGATCCGTAGAGCATTTTCGCACATATGTGAATTCATAGAAAAAAATCGACCCGTTGTAATGTATAAATCTTGGTATAATATCATCCAACAGCCCTTCTTCTGCACGCGAGCTTTTGTTATGTAACCGACTATATTCATTTGAGCAACGTCAAATCTTGTTTACAACAAAAAATTTACTTTAATGTTTGTATGTTACTAAAACTATGTGTATCGGTATACACTTCAAAGCAGCAAATTTCGAAAATTATTCAAACACTTGTTGCTTTCCTTTGTCCAGATTCGCTCTACAACCATTTAAGCAAATTTGTCTGCATTCAAGAAAGCGCGTATATTAAATTTGTTATGAAGCTTAGGCTAAGCACATAGTGAAGTGAAGAACAAAGTAGTCATGAACGATGACTGCCGTTTAGTGTTTGGCGAGTTTTTATAGACCGATTGGAATGATGTCATGGTCCACGGCCCACAACACCGTACTCAAAGAAAACAATGATGTTGATGAACAGTGGTTTTGACCGACTTTGTTTCTCGGTTCTGTCATTCGCTGGGAAATTGTTGGAAATTTTCGACATCATATTCGTACATCTATTTCTCGTCTCTTTTAATGTTGTGTTTGATGAATGTAGGGTCCTCAGCTACGTTGTCAAGCATATGTTTTGAGACTGGGTTTATAAAAGATTCAAGTCTTTATATACAAAACATAAACCCAAATGTTTGGAGTCGATATACATAAGAGATGTTGAGATCCTCTGCTATCCTTCTGATAACAAAACGATAATTTTCAAAATAAACCCCCCAAAATCCTTCGGCAACATTTTTATAGGTTACATAGTCGTAATTCCACTGAAAACACAAAATTTGAAACCAATCCGCTTTAGTTTTTCTTTGGTAAAAATTGCTACACTTTTCACGTCGCTAATAAATAGCTCCCACACATAATTAATATATCTATGATCAAACTTCACACAAACAAACAAAAAAAAAAAAACAGGTTTAAGTGGGTCAGTCCGAGCCAAATTTGATCAGATGGTATAGAGATTAACAAGTTGGTTAGAGAGTAGGAGGTAGAAGTGCTCCAAGAGCTAATCAACTCTATTTCAGTGTTACAGAAGCGAATCATACATATTTCTGGAATCCTGCTAATTGGTTTTGCCTTGGCGAGATATTTGTTAGAAGATTTTCGATAAGTTTTTTCGAGGACTGATTTTCGATATCAGAATGCTTAAATGATTTTAAAAAAATCGAAAAGTTTCGAATAGCGTAAGAAAATATATTTTTTAAATAATAAACAGTAAAAACCGTTTTCAAGCTATCGCCAACGAAGGTGTCATTAAAAACAAGGTGTCCTTAAGAACCAAAGCCATTCATCTTATTGACTGAGTAACAAAGTAATTGAAAGCTCTTATGTAAAAAAAGTTCCTAAGCTGGAAAATGTGCCTGAGTAAAACATAAGATTCCAAATAGAGATCTTATTTCCTATCTATCCACCTTTGCTGTCCTTCATAAACTGCGTACATATATATATACCTATTTACCAAGCTGCTGTTAAAAACTGCTTACTGTCATGTAACACTCGTTGGCATGTCTTTTCTGTTTGTCTAAAATGCAAATGCAATTTGTCGTATTAAAACTTAAACTCGCTTAAATGTTTACAAGCATCTTCAGCATTTCCTGAGTGCGGCATTTGGCTTTGACAAAACTTTTTTCGCAGCAACATAGCTGGGCGGATAATTTCAGTAAACACGTTAGTTGGATTGCCAAAGTTACCGTTGTGCAAATATTTCTTAAACTTATTAAAGGTTGACATTGCTGAGGCTTTTCTAACAATTAGTAGAACACACTTTTGGTGATCAACTTCAAAATCGGCTTTGGAAATCGGAAATTTAAATTTTTCTATGAAGCAATAAATCACCTGGTATTATCTAATTCCGGAGTTTATTGTTTGTATTCAAAATTTCTGTAAAAAACAAAATTAGAGTTAGACGCTTGATCGTGTGGCTTCGCAAGTTGTGATGATTTTCTGTTAAACATCTGAGCCTCGAATTTACATAACTCTTTATATTTTAACCTAATAGACTCATGTAATTGTTATTGGAATGGACTAGTCTTTCAGCAAACCAATGGAACAAGAGCACAATTCTGAAATAAAGGGTTAGTCAAGATTTTCAAAAACTCGAATAATAACTTAGAAATATTCTCCGAAAATTTTAAGTGTACTAAACAGTTTTCGAGTTATTCTTTAATTACCAAAGGGTTCTCGAGCATTCTGCAATGTTCATATAAAACTTCAAATGCGTTTTTTTCAAAACAAACTTTGAACAGGCGAGCACTGCAGCTTGAAAACCACTCGATAGTTTTCAATGAAATTTACAATACAGCGTTTTTAAAACACGAAAAGTAGTAATCAAAGTATTTTTTTTTTTAATTTAGATTTTTTTTATAAATAAATAACTGTTGATTTTATTCCGCAAATTTGAAAAACAAAATCCTGGATCGCCAATTTCAAATGAGAATATATCAAATAGCATTCATATCAACGGATTGAGTTATAACTTACGAAGATGGCCTTTTATATCTTGGGGTGTAGCAATCTGGCAACTCACAGGTTCGTGATGAAGTTTGAAAAGTATTTTTGGTGTTATAATTACTCAAAACGTTTCGACATATGAGCGCTATTTTTGCTATTTTCAGTAACTTAAAATATTCATATATTTTGAAGTTTGACATGAATTATCTCGACAACAGTGCAATGATGTACTTAGTTTTAAGCGATGAAGCGCAATTAAGGACAAGTATTTATCGGTGGTATGGTGAATCGAGATTGCAGATCACTCCAAAAAGAATTTCCTGAAGGTCGTCTAAAATCAATAATTGTTCCGGAAACTATTGATACTGTACCCAAACTGATATCGCAAGATCGTCATGTAACCTATCGATAGACTGAGACCACTATTGGTATTAGGGGGACTGACCTACAATCAATATTGTATGAACATTTGATAACAGAAACAATTTCTAAGAGGTCAACATTTTTCGATACCTGAAGAAGCGGTTGATGCGTTCAAAAGCCATGTTTTGGAAATATAATACCTCAATTAGAGTGACAAAATCGGCTTTGGAAATCTTAATGGAGAAAAGTTTGAAAAACAATTAAGCGACTTTCGATAATTAATATTGGGTAGTCAAAAAAATCATTACGTATTTCTAATCAAACTTCAACTTATTATTATTTTATTTATAATAATAAATAAATAAACAAATATGTACCATTTTGTTCAACCACTTTTTGCCATTTTTCCGATAGAGACATTATTCCATTAGTGTAAATCGAAATTTCGAAATTTGTGCACAGCTGCATTTTTTTTTTTTTCACCTCCCCCGAATTTGATTTTTTGGTTAAATGAAGCTTAATGTTTCACATTTCTAGCACTGTATGCTAGGATACAATGTGATTGGTAGCACTGGAGATATACGACTGCAACGACATCTATTGATAATATACGAAAAGACTTTTTCGACTACCCAGTATTTGTTCGAAATTCGAAATATAAAATACAACACACGTATTGTATTGAACAGTAGAAAGAATATATTGAAATTCATCTGATGACTATTAAAGATGTAGTTGCTAAACCAAATACACCTGTAACGGGTATTATAGAGCATTGTAGAATCGTTTACTTAAGTTTATCATTCACTTTCTGTATTTGTTCTCCTGAAATTTGTCCCTTTCCTGTTACCCTTAGTAATTTACATACTTGCAACACTTCATCAGCAGCAACAGAGAGAACCCAATCAAGTGTTAAATGTTATTTCTTATCATTTCATGTGCACAACTCTTTAAATAACAACAACAGCAAAAAATCAAAAAAAAATAAAAATAAAAAACTCTCACAAAATATACATATGCATATACCATAACTACCTTAATGCATATATCTAACTATCTGTACATATGTAAATATATTCCTCTAAACATTAATCATTACATTTTTTTCTTAACAGTGGGGCGAGCAACGCGGCCGTCTGCGCGAGGAAATGATGTCCTTCTTCGATTCTGAGGGCAATGTGCCGCTACACTCGGCTGTGCATGGCGGCGATATCAAGGCGGTGGAGCTCTGCTTGAAGTCGGGCGCTAAAATTTCTAAGCAGCAACATGATCGCTCGACGCCAGTGCATTTGGCTTGCGCACAGGTGAGTGAGTGTGTGTGTGAGATGGGGGTCGAACGAAATTAATGGTAGTAGTGAAGAAACTGCTTTGCGTACGAATATAGTATACTGCTAAGGGTTGGAAAAATGTATGCTCACTTCTAATTATTCGCTCACACATTTTCTAATTCCATTGTTGTCAACGAACCGTTATAACTATGTGTGGGTTGTTTCCGACTTTTTATTTCAAACTTTTTAATATTAAAATTCGAAATGAAGCTGATTATTGTGCGAGAGTACTATTTTTTATATGGAATAATATCCTTAAAAGATGTCAAAAAAAACTTTTTTGAAATTTGTTGACAAATTGTGATTTCAGTCTGCCGACTTAGCATATAGAACTTCCCTCGAAATACGTCAAATTATTGAAAAAATCCACGAAGAAACCCCTGTTTACTAAAAAATATTGTGAAATTCCCAGAATCTACGAAGTCTCTCAATTTAATGAAACCAAAGGCTGTCGTAGCGTATTTTTTCCAAAAATTTTGTAATAAAATGAACCTTCACGTCCGCGTTCTCATTTCTTCGATGAAAATGATTTTATAAAGGGATATAAGTATATAAATACATACATATACTACTGTGATCAAAATGAAGGCTGAGTTTTTAATTTATACTTCGCGTGTTTTTCGAATCGGTTCTTTTTTTCTGTAAGTTGGTAGCACTGTTAGTGGCATCTGTGCTATATTTCACGTCAAAATATTGATTAGTATTTGAGAAACGCTCTCAAAGTGAATCTTCGATTTGTACTATGTCTGAATTTATTGAACAAAGGAATGCGTTAATACACCAACTAACTAATATCGCGCCGCAACCACCGCATTTGCATGATTTACCTTCGTGTAACTTCTAGCTACTCAGCAAATTCACATGACCACGCCCAGGACATTGTTTTGACTCAATTGAGGATATAAAAACTAAACCGAAGAAGGAGCTTTGCTGGGAGCAGGAGTGACTGGAAAATTCGTTGGCATAAGGAGGTCCGATTATAATAATTATTTAACTGTCAAAAATGCACCACGCTCTTAAAAGCCAATTGTCGAGTACTAACCACAGTTTCTATTGTTCAGGAGCACAAAAAATGCTTGTGATTGAAACGCTGTGAGCCGGCATAGACTGTTATCTATCTACCATATAATCCAGGCCTGGAACTAAGTAATTACTCCCTCTTCCTGCCTATAGCGAATGATTTTGTTGGTGTAATATTCACCTCAAGTGAAGCATGTGAAAATCGACTGTGCCAAGTTTTAGCTTATAGATAAAGGGGTTTTTCTGATAGCGACATTAAGAAATTACCTTCAAAATGGCTCGAATAAAACTGCATATAATATATAATTCAACTATTTTGATATGACAATTCCCTTCATATCGGCGACATCAAAGCTGGTTCCACCTGAAAATTATTCTTCACGAAAATTCACGAATCTTGCTGATCTCTAAAGAAGCGGTAAAAATATCTATACAGGTAAAGTGATTACAAAAAAGGTCAAGACTTATCAGAGCTTGTGTGAACCATGTATTCACATCATGTTGGGATATCAAGCCAATTTTTTTGGCTTAAAAAAACTCCTTATAGCAATGCCTACACACGATTCATCCACTTCTGAGTTCCATTTACTACAGAGAGGCTCTATACGGACGAAGTTAAATCAAATGCTTGGTTTGGTAGATAAAGTCCAAATCGTCTAAATTTCTCCATAAGAACCAGTTAATAAACTTCACAAATGACGTAGAATTTCATTACTTGATCCTAGAGGAATCGATTAGAAATGCCATTTTGCTTTATATTGTAAAAAAATTGTTTTTGTTGTGCTTCTCGTTAGATGTTGAAGGCTTAAAACATAGAATCTACCTCTAGGATCTATAGCAGAATCCAGATCAGAACTGCAGAGTAATGAAAACTTTGCTCATGAACTTTCTTGGAAATATTATTGCTAGTTTGTCCTCCCATCGTTGATGGCTTTTGGTGACAGGTTGTGTTGGTAGAAGATGATAGCCTCCTCAGCATTGACTGTGGAACCAAATTAGAGTTTCAAGTTTCAAGACATATCTATTTCGTTCTGTATTAACGGTAGCACGTAAAAAAACTAACTGCGATATTTTATTAATTAAAATTGCATAATGAAGATATTTACGATAACACAAAGCTACGAAGCTCTTGATATCAGGACAATTTAATTAGTCGTGAAGTCAAATAGCAACTCGTATGTATTTAGGCACATTCAGTTATTGGTTTCTCTTTTACTTGCTGCCGGTAATTTTCTAAGAAGACTTTTAGGGTATTGTTTACATTTGGCCACTTGTTCGCGAGCTTCTAAGTGGTTATACAAAAAAAAAAAAAAAATTATATAAACACAAAAGTTTCACGGTCGCGAGTACCGTTTGCTGCTGGTAAATATGTACGTAGGTAGACTACGGTATCTCATGAATGACTTTCACATTATTTTTGGTTACATAAGGGTGCACATATATGTACATACTACATACATACACATAACAACAATACAAACACCAAGGACTGTTGTACAAATTAGCACAGGAATTTTTTTGACATTAATAACTGACACAAAATACATGGCAACAACAACTCAGCAATGTGTGAGATCTGGCGCCAAAACAATCTGCTGAATCATCCGTTAGGCATTGCGTTTATTTTCTGCTACGTTAGCAACGCAATAAGCTATGCGCACATGTATTGGTAAACAAAATGGCGCAAATTCCTATGCAAACACAGACAATAACCTACACATGTGCGCACGCATATACTCGTACATGAGTAGCATATTCGGAATATTCGCTACAAATAGCCACCTTGCAGTTCAATGAAGGTGGGAGAGAATTCCTCGAAGAAACTTAAAGTCGGCAGCATCGCGTGGCAGTCAGAGCTTTATCCTTCTATAGACGATTTTTTTACATTGGTTGTTTGAAAAAAAAAAAAAATTTTTTAGAAATAGAAAATTCGTAGAACATATTTGCGTTATGCAGATTAAACATCAAATAAATACGAGGTTACTTATTAGAGCAATAAATGTATGTAAGTATTTAAATAACCTCAAATTCTGTCATTTGACATTTGGTAATTGAACACGATACTGCGTTCATGGAAAATAAAATAAGTTGTGGGTGAACAACTGAAACTTCGCGAGATGTGCTCATTTCTTAGAAAAATTTCTATCACACATTTCTGAAATAGCAGTTATTTGACAATCATACTGCAATAACTCATTTATTATTAACAATTATGGCTATATTTAATTTTTTTTTAAATATAGGGTTACCATATTCCAAAAATTTCTGCCATGAAAATCTTTCTGGGTTTGTTGTCGCATTTTTATTATACTTTTTTATTATATTATATTTTTTATTCTAATTTTTTTAAATATGGCAACCTCAATTTAAAAATTTTTGCCGCATTTTAACACTTTTTTAGTTTGCTATTTATTTAGTAAAAATTTTTAACATCTGGCAACATTTTCTATCGAATTATGTTGTTGTTGTTGCGTCAAAAAAGATTCCTGAAATTATTTCGACGCATGGTGCCGAGTTGACAGTTCTTGGTCGGATAATAATCTGGGTGTGTTCCGGCTACTTAAACCCGAATATAATTAAAACGGCTTTCGAAGTAGTGTTGTTGTTGTTGTCGTAGCGGTAGAATTCTGTTGAGTTGACAGTTCTTGGCGGGGTAAAAATCCACGTCAGTTTCGGCTACATAGGCCCGACTGACGTGGGACGGTTTTCAAAGTCTCAGGTAGTAAACTATTAGCACCAACGAGAAATTTAGTATTTTATCTGGTCTCGGCTGAGAAAACTGTCACTAATTATTTTAGTACACGGTTAACGCACCCATCGCACCCTTTTCAGAAGACTACATCTTTTTATATCTACCTCTTTTTTATATGCGGTCATGGCCGAGTTATAACACCGTGCCGTTTTTCCTTTTCGCTGTTTGACGCCAATCGGAAATTCCAAATGTAGCCAGGTCCTTCTTCATCTAGTCTTTCTAAGGGAGTGAATGTTTCCTTTTCCTCTGCTTCCCCCGGAGAGTACAGCGTCGAGTACTCTCAGAGCTGAAGTGCTCCCATCCATTCGGACGACATAACCTGGCCATATTCGCTGAACTATGTCGTAAATCTTTTCGAGTCTGACGTTGTTCTTGGTGTTAATGCTGGTTCCAAGATAAACGAAGTTATGATTGTCAACAGTGATGACATGAGTGATATATTTCACTACCAAACCCATTTGCTTCGCTTCTTTGTCCAACCAGGAGAAAGCAGAGCTAACGGCGCGGTTGTTATGGCCAATGATGTCGGTACATTTTCTATTCAGTTCTGCAGCTCAAATCATTTTCTCCAGCAGTCGATCTATCTGAAACCTCGTTTCATATCGAAAGGCTCGAAGAAGTGCTCCCGATCCTGACGGAGCTTTTGGTATTACTCAACATCTGTTTGCATTGTCGTATTAGTTTTGAGGCAGACATTACCGTATAAAGGTTCTTCCGTCCTTTTTGTGCTGTCAAAAGCAGTTTAAAATCTCCGAAAAGGTGGTGTGTGTTGATCCTCTTTTCACGGGTCACGAGCATGGTGACTACATCTTAGTATATTTAATTGCTTTATCCTCTAAATCGATGCTCCTTATGGAAATTTGTATTTTAGTATAAAACGGTAACCTTCTTCGAAATCTGTATTTCTGTATCAACCACTCTTACGACGGTTTGCTGTATTTTCGATTGGATATACTTATATTCTACAATGCTGTTCAAATTAGGCTTAAAAGGAGAGCGTGGTACGACACACGTATATTGATTCCCGATAAAAAAACATAAAAATTTCCTCTCGTAGCGAAGGCCATCTTTCCACAGACTCACAATAATTTCATAACTCTTTTGTGAACCGATATTTAGCATAGACTTTCCAACGCTTCCGGACGTTTATTGCCATGATTGGTATGAATTATGGAAGATACTTAGAGATTTTGCGAAATGCTGAGGTGTTGACAATCGTTGTTCTTCGTAATCCATACACCTAATTCCACATAGTCGACTGTCTCCGGAACGGAAGCGGTCAAACTTATTAACTAAAATTATCACCTCATTCCCAGTTACTTTAATAGGTTTCTGTATTTTTTAGATCATGACATCAGGGAAGGACGTGTACGTTGGTTTAAATGCTTCAAATAATTCCCAGCATTTCTGTTATGTTATTTCATGTGAAACCTAGTCATAATTCAGAACAAACCTCATTCTAAAGTTTCTGCTTTTCTCCCATTTCGGTATTCGAGAATTATTTAAACTGTTGCTTAAATAAATAATGAAATTTATTTGAACAAAATAAAACTAGAAATCCTACAATAGCCTCTTTCTATGATATACTATATATTAACGTTGCTTCTCTATCATACAGGGTGCCATCGAAATCGTCAAACTTATGTTCAGCATGCAACCGTCGGAGAAGATTACTTGCCTCAGCTGCACTGACGCTCAGAAGATGACACCACTACACTGCGCTGCCATGTTTGATCACCCAGATATTGTCGAGTACTTGGTGAAGGAGGGCGCTGACATTAATGCACTAGACAAAGAACATCGTTCACCGATTTTGCTCGCCGCATCGCGCAGCGGCTGGAAAACTGTACATCTGCTAATACGTCTCGGCGCTGGTATTAATGTCAAGGATGCATCTGCACGCAACGTCTTGCACTTTGTGATCATGAATGGCGGCCGTCTACCAGAGTTTGCCGAGGAAGTGAACAAGACACAATCACATTCTCAACTTGTGCAGCTGCTGAACGAAAAAGATGCCTCAGGCTGTTCGCCATTACACTATGCGAGTCGTGATGGGCATATACGTTCGCTGGAGAATCTAATACGACTCGGGGCTTGCATTAATCTCAAGAATAACAATAATGAGAGTCCATTGCATTTTGCCGCACGTTATGGACGTTTTAATACCGTCAAACAGTTACTTGATTCGGAGAAGGGTTCTTTCATAATCAACGAAAGTGATGGCGAGGGTTTGACACCGCTACATATCGCCTCACAACAGGGTCACACACGTGTGGTGCAATTGCTGTTAAATCGGGGCGCGCTCTTGCATCGTGATCATAATGGACGTAATCCTTTGCATTTGGCTGCGATGTCCGGTTACATACAGACAATTGAATTGTTGCATTCGGTACATTCACATCTGCTCGATCAGGTCGACAAAGAAGGCGTGAGTATGACATGCATTGTATGCTTTAATAACCTGATGTCAGCGCTTCGGAAAAATGTAATAATCTTTAAACCCACTATGTCTTCAATATTTCTTCCGCAGAATACCGCACTTCACTTGGCCACAATGGAGAATAAACCGCATGCCATCTCCGTGCTACTCTCAATGGGCTGTAAACTCTTCTACAACAACATCGACATGAGCGCCATCGATTATGCCATCTATTACAAATATCCCGAATCAGCGTTGGCTATGGTAACACATGAGAATCGCGCCAATGAGGTGATGGCATTGCGTTCCGACAAGTATCCCTGTGTTATACTTGCACTAATCGCATCCATGCCAAAGGTGTTCGAGGCTGTGCTCGATAAATGCATCACAAAGGCGAATTGCAAGCGTGATTCTAAGAGTTTCTACGTAAGTACGATTTCAGTAGTTTAAGTCGCCAACCCTCTCTCTCAGTCTGCGCTTGTCTCAGAAGTTCGAGAGTTCGTATATGATAGTTCTTATATAATAAGTTTTCTTTAATTAATTGCAATTATATACAAATGTATATTTGTGTGCGATAAAATACATAAAATTATTAACACTTCATCTTCAACTGCAGATAAAATATTCGTTTTCCTATCTGCAATGTCCTTTTATGTTTGATAAATTGGATGAGAAAACCGACGAAGCGATAGCTCATTCGAATTTGACACCATTGCCGGCGTTAAATGTAAGCAGAGCATGTGTCATCGATTCCATATTATACCGTTAACTGCCTGACTACCCGCCTGCCTCTATGTCTTTCACTTCTATCTTCTATCTAAAAGTACTTGCCTGCGACTTCTTTTATTGCCGTTAGTTTATAAATATTTACCCATATTCCTGTTCCCTCTCTCTCTTTGTCTCTTTATGATTTACTGTCTGCCTGCCCGCCTCTTTTACGATATTTCTAATGCTTAGCTTTTTAAATAATTACAAGCGCATGATTACAATTTTACACACATAGTGTAGCTAGTTTACTTAGTAATTTTTCTTTAATTTGTATGTGTTTAGTGTATAGTATTTCGTATTAGAAAAAAGGAAAGAGACAAATATATAATATAATATACGAGTTACCTTAACATAACGGAACTAAGCAGTCTGATAAGTATATACATAAGATTTCCTCGTCAGCGCCAAAGAGTTTCTAACACACAAGTCGTATATACATTCCATCTGATCAAAAATTACCCGGACTGGTTCATTTAAGTGGTTACATGGCTTTCCTCGGGTAAAAAACAGACCATTTTCAACATTTTTTTTTTATCATATAGAAAAGAAATATATTTTATTAGAATTTTATACAGTTACAAACATATACTATTAACAATGAGCTTCTGAAATTTTTGGAAACAAAATTTTAAACTCGGCCCTTGTAAAGCCATATTCGGCGATCCCTTAACTTAGAACTTAGATGAACTAAAATCATTAAAATTTGGATTTTTGGCAGCCATTTTCCAAAAAAAAAAAAAATTAAAATTTCGCGAGAATTTTTTTTTTCAAAAGTCTTTAAGAATTGTATCTCAATGACCTGTATAAAATTTCATGAAGATTGGTTGAGTAGTTCTCGAGAAATAATGCCAACCGACTTCAGAAACACAATTTCGAGAAAAACGCGTTTAAAGACAGTGTACTTAGCCTAGCTAAACTCGAGCGCACAAGTCTTCAAAGCTGTGAAACTATTACCCGGATCAGCTTGAAAATTTAGGACACTATTCTAAAGGTGTTTTATAATTTAATCAGAGAATAAAAAAAAATCGATGTTTTGAAACTCGTAAACTCATGTAAGCCCTTAAAGTGGATCTCATATTAATTAATATGTGTTTGGCAGCATCAAAAAGTTTTCTTGGCGATTTTTAATTTGGAAAAAAACTTAACTGCGACTTTTTGAATTTTTTTGTTTCCAATAATTAAAACTACAGTTAAGCAATAGTTAAAAAATTCCAGTAGTGTTTCGGGGAGTCTACTTTATCACGAATACGAGTATTTGAGTGGCCCGAAGCCTACAGTGGAGGTCGTGAAAACATCGAAAACTTGCCTAATGTGAGTCATCCATACACAACTTCGAACATGTCAAAGAAACAATGCTTGAAAACCATCGAGCTGGCTACAGAGAGGCGGCAGCGAGTCTCAACAGCGTCTATGGACCGACTCAACTCATTTGGACCTTTCTTTTCCCAAATTAGATATGTCTCAGTAACTCGTTAAAAATAGACACGATATTTAAATGAGAGTAGAACATTTTTGTTTCAAAACAAAACAAAAAAAATAAAAAAGAGAGCACCGAAAAAATAATGTGTAATTAAGAGTATAAAAATCGTAAAGCTTTAAAAAAAACAATAATTGGGTTGTGCGGGAATTTTTAGACATATTTTCTGATAACAAGGAGATCAAAATAATGGAATGATTTTTTTTCTTTTACAGTAAAGTCTAGATCGCGCTTAATACGACCACGAAACAATTTATGAAACTCACCAAGTATTAAAAGTTATGGAAAACATTGTTGCTATAAATTTCAAACGTACGTTTAGGTTAGTTCTAAAAATTTTTTTTTTTTTGTTTTGCTTTTTGTCTAAAAGCTGGCTTCAGCGAACGTAGGTTAATATTTTACTATCGACTATTATCACGTAACAAGCTCACTCAACGACTCATCAAACGGGTCTCAAACAGAAAATTCCCTACAATTAGCTAACATATATTTATTCATCTAGGCCGCTTTCAGCATTATTCACTGCCACAGGGTTATCCACAAAACATAAAAAAAATCACATTTAAAAATAAAAAAAAACAATTCTGTTTGCAGATAAAATATTCTTTTCATCCAATTCAAAAATCCCCTGACGAGATTGCTAAGAAGCGTCTGATGCTTAATGATCCCACTTGGAGACCCGAACCATTGCTCACCATAAATGTGAGTCATTTTATGTGAAATAAATTACCATCTAATTTATGTATTGCCTTAAGCAAAGTCCAACCAAATAAATGCAATAAATTTTAAAAACAAACTAATTGGAAGTCTCTAAAAAGTGTCATTAACTCTCACTTGCTATTTACTGCGTCCGTTTGTAAGATATAAAATGTCTCATCTCTAAACTGTTTTTGTAAATAATATGTCTAACAATGTATATATAATAGTTGTGTTGTTGTATATAGTCTTATATTCTTAAAAACTAAATAAACTAAAAATTCTAAAATTAGTTTTACGGGGATTGTCAATCAATCTTTCGATTATCAAGGTGACTATGGTGACCTACTTACACAGATACATGTGCGTAAAACAAACTATTTGCGCCCGGAAATATATCTATACTTTGAACTCGGACTTATGTAGGAAAGACTGAACGCATTTACGTCGAGATCATACATTAAAAGCATACAAAATAGAGCTTGTGCAAGAACAGAAGCCGCTCGCGCTTCCAAGCAATATCGCTTCACTCAATGGGCTCTTGAAAAGTTGCAAAAAGATCCGACGTTTCCGAGCCAGCGATGAGACCCATTTCTGGCTCAATGGATATGTAAAGAAACAAAAATAACACATTTGGAACGAAGACCAACCCGAAGAGATTCAAGAGCTGCCAGTTCATCCAGAAAAACAAACGATTTGGTGGGGTTTGTGGGCCACTGTAATCATCGCTCCATATTTTTAAAAAATAATGCCGATGAGAACGTAACCGTTAATGGCGATCGCTATCGTGCCATGATAATCGACTATTTGATGCCTGAAATTGAAGTTCGTGATCTTGGCAAAATTTGGTTTCAACAAGATGGCTCCACTTCCCACACATCGCATAAATCAATAGATTTATTGAGAGAACACTTCTGTGAGCAGATAATTTCACGTTTTGGGCCAGTCGATTGGCCACCAAGATCATGTGATACCACACCGTCAGAGTTTTTTCTATGGATATATCTAAAGTCTAAAGACTATGCGGTCATTTTTCGGAGTCACCGATATCCGATCACTATACGATATATCTTTTTATGTGAAATAAAATCGATGAAAATCAAGTCCTTTTGAGGAAAACTGTTTTATTTGACAAAATATCTTTACGTAATTTGACCTAGATTATTGTCCAAGGCAAGGCTACAATCCCAAAACATATTTTTCGATTCGGACCACTATAGCATATAAAAAGCCTACCAACAAAAACAACATATATAAAATGTTAAAACGAAATAAAGCACCCAAATTTCTTCAAAAAGGGTTCAGGTTGTTTTTTTTTTTTTTGTTTTATGACATTTATGATTTGTCGACCAAATGGCCATTTACGTAAATTTTCGATGACCCGGTGTAGCATTTCGGCTATGGTGCGTTGTATACGGTCTTCGAGCTCCTCGGGCGTTGCTGGTTGATTGGCAGAAACCTTAAATTTAACATGCATCCAGAGAAAATTATCCTCAAACGTTAAATCACATGACCTCGCTGCCATTGCACAGGCAATATGTCCATGTTTAAACGTGAAATATGAGACGGTGCAACGTCTTCTTCGAAATAGAGAACGTCCGCATCGATTTTATCAAAGTCAAGGAAAGAAAAGTCGGTAAAAATCCTGTTATAACCCTCGCTATTGATAGTAACAGCATTTTGTGCCTCATTTCGAAAGATATAATATCCGATAATGGCGCCTTACCACAATCCGCACCAAATGGTCAAATTTTGGTAATGGTAATGCGTTTTCTAAACCAAATGAGCCTTGAACTTACCGAAATAGCAATAATTTTATTTGTTGACAAAGCCATTAAGCCAGAAATGGGTGTCATCTGAGAAGATGATTTCTCGATGTACCTGAATTTTACAGAGAACCAATCATTGTACCGAACCGAAACGTAACATGACGAAATGACAAACCTTGCTTGACATAATGACAAATTTTGACACAAAACCGTAAACAAATATGGCTGCCACGAGCTGTCAAAATCACGTTGTTGTTGTTAATAAAAAATTCCTGAAGCAATTTCTCACAGATTTTAATATTATTCTGTTTAATGTTTTGAGCAACACTCTTGTTTATTGTTATCTATTGCACCAAACAAAAATCTTAAAATGATAAACTCCATTTGCATGTTTATTGTGAATAATAAATACCATACATATATACATATATTTACATAATATCTCACTTTCCACCACTTAACTTTTTGCAATTTTCCATAATCTCTGTCTGTGCCTTACGCTTCACTATGCGCTTAACCTTACTTTAATTGTGACTGTGTAGATGGTTTTCCACTTGTGGTTTATGTCCGTCTATGAAAGTTGAACCTTCAAATTATGTTTGTACTAAAATAAATATATATGTATTTCATGCCACTCAATTTGTGCCTGCCAGACGATGGTCACGCATGGTCGTGTCGAGCTGCTCGCCCATCCGCTGAGTCAAAAATATCTACAAATGAAATGGAATTCTTACGGCAAATATTTTCATCTCGTCAATTTGCTGATCTACTCAATTTTCCTGTTATTTGTGACGATTTTCTCCACATTGATGATGAACGGCATCGAAATTCGTCCGTTATTTTTGAATGCGTCCATTGTGGATAATGCAAATGCATCGCAGAGCAATGACGGCAATTTAGAGTGAGTTAATGAATAATTTTAAGAATATTTACATATACATTTTATATACAAATATTGTGACAAAAAAGCACCCGGAAGTTGTAGTTAAATTAATGAGCGCGATCTATCAACCAGTTTATAAGGGGAAAAAGGTATTTTAAGAGAAAACCCTCCAAGAAAAATTCATTTATTGGCGCGAAGAGGATTGAGAACAAAATATTTTTAGTGTGAAAACGCTGTCTTTTAAATTAAGTCTACCTGTAAACCTTATGAATCGTGTCATATCGATTATCGAAAATCGACTCGAAAAATCGGTAAATTCTGTTCGTTCTCTAACTTAAAATCATATTTGTGTCAGTTTTAAATCTCGAACTCTTTTTACGCTAATAGCGTACTTACTAGTTTTCTATAAAGGAATTAGAGTCTTTCCGCATTTTGAGCTTACTATAAGCCGTAGATCCCGAAGTCCACACGTCGAAATATCAAGCCAATTCTAAATTATTAACCATCTGTTGTTGTTATTATAGTGGCAATGTTCTGAAGTGCTGAAAATCCTTGACCGCTTAAAAAATCCAAACTTCAATGGGTCGATTCTACCGAAAATGTGAACTCTTCTTAATAAGAAGACCGATTCTCAGACCTGTACTCTCTCAAATCAAGTTTAGTTCCTCGTACTACTCGAATTAATTTATAATAAAAAATGGAATAGAATTCATAAATAATATTCTAAATACTACAACCCCCACAGCCTCCAAAAGAACCTCAGCAACAATGATTGGCCTGAAAACCCCGCCGGTGGAGGSCGCGAATCGTTTGGAGTGAGGTATGGCGAGTCTTACGAGCGTCTACAACATACCACCGCTTTGGTCATTTGCGCCATTGTAATTGTCATTTATATTGGCGGTTATTCGCTGCGTGAGTTTCTCCAAATGTACCAACAACGGCTGCACTACATATTCGAGATCGACAATTTAATATCATGGGTTCTATACATATCCGCATTGATCATGGTATGGCCAGTTTTCTTTTGCGGGGGCAATATATCCACCGTACACTACTCAGCGGCGGCGGTGGCGGTGTTCTTGTCCTGGTTTCGTCTTTTGCTTATGCTCCAGCGCTTCGATCAAGTATGTGAAAAAAATTGTTAAAAATAATATATAGTATATATTTGAAAATATCCCCCACCAGGTCGGCATTTATGTGGTGATGTTCTTGGAGATTCTGCAAACTCTCATAAAAGTGCTGATCGTCTTTTCGATTCTGATCATCGCTTTCGGCTTGGCATTTTACATTCTCTTATCGAAGGTAAGCATCATTTATCAGTCAATGACGGCACTTTCTATAACTGTATATATGTTTGTGTATGTATGTTACATATATGTATGTAGTGCGGGATCTATGCTGTTTTACAGATCAACGATGCCCAACCGAATCATTTGTCCTTCTCGAACATACCGATGTCACTGTTGCGCACCTTCTCCATGATGTTAGGCGAACTGGACTTTGTGGGCACCTATGTTAACACCTACTACCGTGATCAATTGAAGGTGCCAATAACGTCGTTTCTCATTTTGTGTAAGTAACTTTTATAAAAACAAAATTTAGTTTACAAATCCTTCAAATAATACTGAGGAATAAAGTCCAAGGAAGACAGATATGACGGTACATCCAGGGAATAGAACCTTTTGATATGATTTGGCATAGTCCAAACTTCGATAACACTTATTTAATAGTACATTGGTCGTTCGCTAAGTAATTTCATCTGATGAAAACAGCAGATCTTACTGAGTTTCGGCGCAGCTAACTTCACTTAACCGCCTTACCGTTATATATTAGAACAGCTAATATATTAAGATTTGTTTGTAAAAATTTTTTGGACTTGGATCGAAAACAGAATTTTCGTTATATTTTACTGTTTAACTATCAAAAGGGTGAAAATGTAAATGTCGACAGAATTCTGATGCTAGAACAACAAAAGTGGATTGTTTACAAGAATATATAGCGCAAGAAGGGCGTTGGTCACCAAAAATGCGATTTTGTCCGTTTGGTGAGATTTCAAAGGCTTCGTTTATTTTGAGCCTTTACCCGACAAACAGAGGGCGGCCAGAGTGGTGTTCTATCAGGATAATGCGAGATCTCTCACAAGTGGGATGACTCACCAAAAGCTTTTGCAGCTTGAATTGGATCTACTACCAAGCCATCTATATTCTCCAAATTTGGTATCTTCACGCTAAGTGGCTACTTTAAATGCTATCGATATTGTAAAGGTGATCCATTTCGAGTTTCTCTACTTTTTTAAAGAAAAAACACAGACACTTCAAATTTAATGTGGAATGTTTATTATGATTCGCAAGAATCGCAGCGGGATTGTTGCATAGACTATAGACTTCACATTTCCCACATGATTGCATCAAATGGTCGGCGTTTCATGGCTCGATAACGGTCGCCATTGACGGTTACGTGAGAAATGGCGCTCAACGCTAAACACATTTTGACTCGAAAATGTCGGATCTTCTTGGAACTTTTCAAAAGCCCATAGAGCGAAGCGTTGTCGCTTAGGAAGGATGGGTGGCTTCAGTTCCTGCACAAACTGTATTTTGTAAGCGTTCAATTTGAGATCTCGACGTAAAATGCGCCAAATCATTCCATACGTCAGACCAAGTGGCTGCGAACGGCGCAAAGTAAAAACATATTTTCTCAATTGGCTAGATAACACTTTTAAGACCTTTAGACAAAAAAAAAAAAAAAAACTCTGAAAAGCAGACTAATAGCCAATCTTCAATTTCTCCGGTTCTTAAGTACAAAATAAAGCGAACTTAATACAAATCTCATTTCAGGTGTATTCATGATTCTCATGCCAATTCTACTCATGAATCTACTCATCGGTTTGGCGGTAGGCGACATCGAGTCTGTACGACGTAACGCCCAGCTCAAGCGTTTGGCTATGCAGGTATTTGTGCGAATTCCTCATAACTACGCTTCATATTGAATTCAAATTTAATCTTTAACCACTTTAATTTACTTTAGGTGGTCTTGCATACCGAGCTGGAGCGGAAATTACCTCAAAGTTGGCTACCGAAAGGCGACAAAGTCGAGTTGATAGAGTATCCAAATAACACAAAGTGCAAAATCGGTTTCCTTGACTTTATTCTACGCAAATGGTTCTCAAATCCCTTCAGCGAAGATTGTAAGTATGTAAAGCTTAAAAAATATGTATTTAATATAACCTTAAAATGGCGACTCACTACTTTAATCAGGAGACATTGAACTGCCATTTAAACAGAGATGTAATTTAGAAACAATAAGAGCACGGCTTTTAATAGAGCTATATGACAATAAGTGAAACTATTAGAAAGCTTGTCTCGTTGGACCCTAGCTAAATTATACAGTGAATATTCAAAGATCCAAAACAGTTAAAGCTCTGCAGCTGATACCTTTGTAGCAGAAATAAGTATACCATAAATCTTTACGAACTGCGACAGAGTTTCCTAGAACCTCGTTGTATATTTCTGGCACAAAAAATATACTCTTTAACTTTATCAGCTGTTAGAAGAAAGTTTGAAAGTGGTAGAAAACTTTGAGACTTTCAAAATATAATACTTGGATTTCGGTAACCTCTCGGTTCCGTTCCTAACTATTGTCTAACACATGGAATCGATAGCATGTGTTCAAAGGCTATCTCTCCAGCCTTTCACGCTTCCATCGCTGCGCGGAAATTTTAGGTATAACTTTTGATAGTCTGTGCTCCTTCACTCCTCATATGACCGCGAATATCGCCAAAATACAGAGCCGTAACAAAATCTTCAAGTCGCTATCCGTCAGCATATGAAGAGAGGACAAAGCAACGTTCTTGGAAACTCACAAGGCAATCTGTCGGGCCAGTCCTTAGCTACGCCGCACCAATATGGACGCCTGGATGCAGTGGAACGCAGACGCGGAAGCTTCAGTCCTGTCAGAATATCGAGCAATATGAACTCCTCTTCACGTATCCGACATTCTTACTAAAGTGCTTTCGCAGAAATCATCCCTGCATTCACCTACTTGAAGCGAAGCCGCCTCCTGGGAGCGTTAAGAGGTCATTCCTCAACTACGCAACTAATTTCCGACAAGCACTGACCACCATTCACAGTGCATCCATAAACACCTTCACCGACATTCTCCCAGTGCAGACGAAGAGCTCGTGTTGCCGCGGGAAACGAAAATTACTCATGCGTAGCTTAATTCTGAATACTGTAGCACCTTAAACTCCTACTTATTCGGAATAGACCCCGACATATCCAATAGACGACCTGTGTGTAATGAATCTAGACATGACACTGGCTCCTCTCAGTTTCGTCGGAAGCCATCGAAACAGCAGGTTTCTTGGTTTACCGTTGGATGATGTCGACAACAATGAACAGTGCGATCAAAATCAAGTACTTGTACAGAAGATATTTTGATTTGACTAGAGACCTTCTCGCCACAATCTCCACCTGGCATAGAACTTCTCTATTCTACCCGTTATACTCTTTTATGCTCTGAGAAATGCATGTATGTATGTTTCTTTGTTAAACGAAATATTTCACTTTTACCCGCAGCTTCAATAGATACGATCTCTTTCGAGAACAACGATGATTTCATCAACAATGAATTGGAGCGACAACGTCGTAAATTACGGGACATTTCACGTCTAATGGATCAGCAGCATCAACTCTTGCGCTTGATCGTGCAGGTGCGCCGAAAATTTTAGATTTGAAATCATAGCAAAATCGTGGTCATACTAATGAGAAAAAATATATTTTTCTTACAGAAAATGGAAATCAAAACCGAGGCGGACGATGTGGACGAAGGTGTATCGCCCTACGATCTAAAAGCTGTTTCAATTTATGGCACGGGACCGGCGCCAGGCTCACGTTGGACCTCGCCACGCATACGCAATCGGCTGCGAGCGGCGCTAAGCTTCAACAAAAGCCTTTATGAATAAAAGTCGACGAGACATAGAAAAATATGAAATGAAAAATTATAGCATTAATTTGTTGTATCTAAGATAAAGATGAGATTGTTTATTAGCACTGACACCAAATAACAATCTTTAGAAAATGCCACAAGAGTTGAAATGCATATTTATCATATGAATTATATAATTGCATATTGTAAACTACTGCTATATGAGCCTGTTCAAGAAAAGTGTATTTCAAAACGAATTCTAACCTAAAATTTCGCACTCTCCAACTATGGAAAATGAAAAATAAGTTGTATATTTTTTACAATGCTCCTTTTGTTGTTGTAAGACTTACTTACAAGCGTATAAAAAATAATTCAAATGAAGCTTGAGCCCAATATGCGGCGCTTGTGCCTTCTATAATCATAAAAATTCCACTATTGTGGAAAAATAATAGGTTTTTTTTAGTCTACTTTGTCTGAGATCTCATTGTTGTAGTTGTAGTGGCGGCAGAAAGTATTCCACAAATAATATTTTAGAATACTGCCGCATTGACAGTCCTTAGCCGAATGTAAAACCGGTTCCGGCTCCGGCTCCGTCTCGATTTCATAGAAACGACCGTCACTGGAACGGTCTAAAATCTGAACTTTTTTGGAATTTGAGCTGTTTTTATTTTAGTTAGCTCTTTCATATTTACTTTGCTCTCTCGACAAGTGATACTCCGAGTTATACTAGAAATAATGTTCCCTGTCGACATTCTTTAAGGTAAAACATCGGCGGTACTTTGTGAAATGTTAATGTTTTTGTTGTAACGGTTATCAAGACGCAATCCAAAAAGTGAAAATCTTAATTATAAATATTTGCAAATTACTTATCCGAAATAACGGGTTTAGAAAGAAAAAATCAATAATTATTACCAAGTACCGGATTCAAAATTTTTAATCTCAAGCTCAAGCAAATAAATATAAAAAAAAAAAACAATTTTAGAATTTACATTTGTTCACGCTTGCTTACTTCAGGCTCTATGATTTTGAACTACAGCTCGTAGAAAAGCTACCATATTCAATGCTCTACAGCAGTGATAATTTATATTTCAGCAATTTTTAATAGCAAATTAAAAAAATTTTCAATACCAAACAAATAGATTTTCAATTTTTAGTTCCAATTTTGCGAAATTTAATTTTTAACGCAAAATTTTGTACTTAAAAAATCCCCAAACTTGCATTGAAGGAGCCAACAAAATCTTCGCTGAAAAGGCTTATTAATAGTAGGTACATACTTACACCCATGTATACACAATCACAACTGTATGTATTATTAGCACCTTTTTTTTTTTTAAATTTTCACACACATCCAAATGACTTCGCGCATTTCCAGAGGTCTAGGAATTGTTCTAAAATGCTTCTTAAACCACCCTACCTTTTGTTATTCATATATGTATATGTATAAAGGCACTCATAAACGATATTTGTCTATAAATACAAATGTATGTAATATAAGAGAAGATATGAAGGGAAGTTTTGTATGAGGAAGAAGTAGGTACTTATAAACAGCAAACAAGGCGACTACAGGTATACAATGAAAAAAAGGCGGCTGCCGGAAAGACGAATTTATAATTCTATCTAGAATAGAGTAATAAAATAGCAAAATGATTGAAACAGCAAAAATACAAAAAAAAATATATATACTAGGGAAAGGATGTTAATGTTTGTATGTATTGCAAATTGGTTTGTGATAAATGTTTCAAAATTGATTTACACGAAAATATATTAATATTTTTAAACACGATATATGCATAAATCAACACACAGGCTAACCCATAATGTTATATGTATGTATTTATATTTAAACCATTGTTGCTGTATTTATAAAACTACAATTTAAGCAGTTTATGTATATGCTTTAGTTTCCCAAAGGAAAAATGTATTGTAACAGAGGAACACGAAAAAGTGAAAGCAAAGTTTTAAAGCATGCATATTATTGCTGGAAAAAACTTGAACAGGATTAACATAATAAAAAAAAATTATAATAGAATGATTGTTTAAATAAAAATTATTGTAAAATTGATGTTGGAAATATAAACATACCTGAACTGAGAAAAATTACTGATCTTCCGTATTTATTGTTAATAAAAAATTATTGAAATAGCCAAGAATACTATGAAAACGTAAGTAAAGGAAAAAAATGCTGGATATTTAGAGTTGTTACAAATTTATCTCAGTCAACTTTTCATGAAGAATAATCTTTCTAAATTAAAAGCGCTTCACAATGAAAATTATAATTTCATTATTCAGATATTTAGATTGGTTTCTTAAATTAAATGTAAACGAGTTGCTCATATATTTGCTTTTTCGCATCGAATGCTGTATATTTGTGCATTTTGGTAATTTGTAGGGACAAATAACAGCCAAACTGCCTCAGCGTTGGAAAACCCAAGCAAAGAACTTAAAATATACTTTTGTGTAATAGTTACGCCGAAATAGATTTGGCATGGTTAAAGCGCCAAACATATACATGGAGATTATATACATAATTACATACTTACGTATGCTTGGACACCAAATTCCAAATATTAAATTTTATATTTCATATTAATTACTGTTGCTACATACATGCTTTTACATAAACACAGTACAGGAAATGCTCATTTTAACAACAAGTTCGGTAAACATTAACATAAACTCATAAGCGGTTCCTATTTTAGTAACAAGTATTATTTTTTTTCAGGTTCTAAGATTTTCACAGTTATTGTGATCCAGATTTTTGTGTAAACAAATATTTTTTTCAAAGCAAAGTTCAACACTTAAAAGCACCAGCGCCATCTAACGTGACATAGCGTAATATACGCTCCTGAATACGGCAATATTAATATTGCAGAGCTGCCTTGCCTACATGAAAAAGTAACGAGTAGCAATTTAACTTCCTTGAGTTGAGCATTTTAACAGCGATATATTTAAAACATATAGAAAATTATCAAGATTAAAGAATTTTACATTCTATTGCTTCATATTGAACACTTTTCAATAAGTCAATAATCAAATAATGTTGAATTAAATGTCGGTAACATAACTTTGCTCTTTAACGATTTCTAGTAAAAGTCATTGAAATTCAATTCACTTCTACCAACATTTAACTTAAAGTTAAAAATAGCAATAATATAATTTACATGTCCCTATCCCTTTGTGGTTTAGAAACATTGCCTTATACCAAGTACTTTCTTTCATCCAAAAACTAACCTCAAAAACAAATTGGCCAAAAATATATGATATACAAATACAAGGACTTACCAAACACTTATAAAACTGTATCGGCTTTTCGTTTCCAATTGCCATATCTTTTCTCAATTTGTTTACCTGAGCATATAGTAAAATATATTTATACATTAGTAATAATTATAAATATTGTAATAGCTATTTTCTTACAACTCGTTACCTATTAACCGCCACTTCCGCGCAAAGCTCAAGCCCGCAAACACGAGGCTGCTAATTCCTTTATGTATGAGGAGTGGAACATGTTCCAAATATACACACTTTGAAACCACAATAACAAAAGTTCTTGCAAAAGTTTTAGAATTTGTTTAGTTCTTAATAATAACTTATTTAACTAGAAAACTCGAGATCCGCTTGCAATTCACTGCAATCCACCAACATTACTGACAGTTCTTCTTTTTCCGCCAAAATTGTTTTCTAGAACAGGGTTGCAGCAGGGAATAATTTAAATATTTATCAAATTTATTTTAACAAAGTATAAATTTTCTACTAAATAACAAATTTACAATTCCTTTCATAAAAAATAGTAAAATGTTAAGTAAAAAAATAACATTATAGTGTAAATAAAAGTAAAAAATATTTAAAATAAAATTCAAACACTAATTAAAATATCATTTATTTATAATTATTAATAATTAATTTAATTTCAATTTAATAATTTTTATTCAAACGCCCCATTTATGACTATAGGTACTAAATAATGTAAAAAATCAATGCAGTTGTATATTATAATTAACTAAACGTCTTCTCTCCGATCTAGAAAACATGTGTAAACATAATGTTAGCTATACTTCGATCGATTTGAAAATTAACAAGCTGGCAATGCTCTGTGGCTACTCGCTCGTTTTCCACATCCAGACGATTGCTTTCGAAGTTTTCCAAACGATGTCGTTTATTCATTCGTTCTTCGTTCGTTGCTCGTGTATTACTTATGTGTGAACGCGGTTTTGTTCATAAAAATATAAAATTGCACCGTCGCCATCTTTAATTTTCTTCAAGAAAGCTTGTGAAATTTTACAAATATATATTAATATAATACTGTAAAAGTTAATTCTTCGTCAGAAGGTGAGCAAATTATTCGATTAAGGTTTTATAGTAAAAAATAATCCTTTTTTTCTTTGGATAGATATTTTAGTATGTATACTGGTGAAAACGTTATCGATTTTTTAAGTAAAATGCTTGCAATTTTAACTAGTTATAACAATTAAATGCTTATTTTAAGTTCATTGCACAAATTATTTACTTACAATTAAAAAAAAGTCGAAGATTAACTGAATTTCTGGATTATTAAACCTCATGCAAGGAAAAGTACAGTCGTACTATACAACTAGAAATTTTCGAGAGTATTTTAAGTGGGTGGACGAATAGTGTGTTAAACATCTGTATTTTCCGAAAAAGTACATGAAAAATAAAAATTTTTTATGAATTATTCTTCGAAACAGTTGAGAAAAAATTTCAGCTATAGGAGGCGCCATTTTGTTTTCGCCTTTACATATTTTCCCCCCTTTTTTTTACATCCATTTGCAAATCGTTTTGTGTGTGTATTCAGTTTACTACTTGTTTTTCAAGTTTCGCAAAATTCTGATGGAAAATTGTAAAAATGTGACTCAACCACGCTTAGATAACATTCTAGAAAAAATTTGTGAAATTTTCTTTTTTTGACATCTCTTCAATATAATATTTTTCTAAATGCCGGCCGGTTGGCTTATTTTAATTTCTCCAAAACTACCATTTTGTATATGCAAAGGTTCATCTTTTCATATCAGGTAAAACGTGATTAATGGATTTCGGTAAAAATGAGGTTATTCACACTTGTATTTGCGCTTTAAGCCATTTTGCTTAGTTTTTTTTTTTCTGCTGTTAACATGGCAAGAAAGAATTTTCGTTCGGTCGGGCAAATAATCTTGCAAACGAGTTTATGTTCGTTCTCCCGCTTTTCGTGAGTATCTACACTTTTGTTGTATACTACCCACCCGTTCGCGCGTAAAATAAGTGTACATACACAAAATGTGAAAAAGCGGTCGTGCTTAACTTCATATACATATGTTA